AATGGCGAGATCTTAGCTCACCACAACCTCTGCCTCCCGGGTTCAAGTGATTCTCCTGCCTCAGCCTCCTGAGTAGCTGGGATTCCAGGCATGTGCCTTCACGCCCGGCTAATTGTGTATTTTTGGTAGAGACGGGGTTTCGCCATGTTGGTCAGGCTGGTCTTGAACTCCCCGACCTCAGGTGATCTGCCCACTTCAGCCTCCCAAAGTGCTGAAATTACAGGTGTGAGTCACTGCACCTGGCCATGAAAAAAATCTTTGTTGTTGTTGTTGCTGTTATTGTTGTTGTTAAGACGTAGTTTCACTCTTGTCGCCCAGGCTGAAGTGCAATGGCTCGATCTTGGCTCACCGCAACCTCTGCCTCCTGATTCAAGCGATTCTCCTGCCTCAGCCTCCCGAATACTGGGACTACAGCTGTAAGCCACCGTGTCCCGCCAAAAGAAAAAAAAATCTTTTAAAAGTAATTTTTGGCCGGGCGCAGTGGCTCACGCCTGTAATCCCAGCACTTTGGGAGGCTGAGGCAGGCAGATCACGAGGTCAGGAGATCGAGACCATCCTGGCTAACACAGTGAAACCCCGTCTCTGCTAAAAATACAAAAAATTAGCCAGGTGTGGTGATGTGTGCCTGTAGTCCCAGCTACTAGAGAGGCTGAGGCAGGAGAATCGCTTGAACCCAGGAGGCAGATGTTGTAGTGAGCTGAGATCACACCACTGCACTCCAGTCTGGGCGAGGGAGCGAGACTCTGTCTAAAAAAAAACATAAAATAAGAAAATGAAAAGAAACACATCGCATTCACCATTCCCTAGGTCTTGCGGTCAGTGGACCGCTGGTCAGCAGGGACTCTGGAGAACTCCATCCTCAATGCCTACCTCCACACCATCAAGGAGAGCCGGCACTTCCTCTACATTGAGGTCTGACTGGGAGGAGGTGGGGGAGAGCATAGAAGGGATGTCGCAGGAGAGAGACCTGGGGAATGAGTGGAGTCAGTCATCGAGGGTTGGTGGAGCTGGGCCCGGAGCAGAAGCAGACGCCTGGAGCCTGGGACCAGGGCTGGAGGCCGAGGACAGTGCCAGCGGCCAGGCTGCTGATGTCTGTCTCTGGTTCTTGCCCCAGAATCAGTTCTTCATTAGCTGCTCAGATGGGCGGACGGTTCTGAACAAGGTGGGCGATGAGATTGTGGACAGAATCCTGAAGGCCCACAAGTAAGGTGGACTGTCAGGAAGGTGGGGACTGTGGGCGTGGTCTGAACCCAGTTGAAGGGGGTGGGGTTGGAGGGACCAGTCGCACCTCTGACTCCACCCTCTCCCCAGACAGGGCCAGTGTTTCCGAGTCTACGTGCTTTTGCCCTTACTCCCTGGCTTCGAGGGTGATATCTCCACCGGTGGTGGCAACTCCATTCAGGCCATTCTGCATTTTACTTACAGGTGACCCCCCAGGGCTCTCAATGGCCCCATCCCACCCTTGTCCCCCTCTTGATTCTGTCCTGATCCCTTCCTCCTGGGCCTTAAAGGAGGGCCACCTCTCCCGACCTCCCCTCACCTCTGGCAGCCTCCACTTCTCTCCCTCTGTCTTTCCTCCCAGGACCCTGTGTCGTGGGGAGTATTCAATCCTGCATCGCCTCAAAGCAGCCAGTGAGTGCTGGGGGCTGGGGGCTCAAGCCCTGGACCCCTGGGACAGGGAGATTGGGGCGCTGGAGGCCTGGGGGTGGGGGAAGGAGGCTGTCATTCCTGTGAGCCTCTGAGGCTACGCAGACCATAGCTGGCCTTTCACTGCAGGGAGAAGTAGAGAGACCAGACTCTATGTAGGAAGAGCTTCTGGAGTGAGAGGAGGTGGGGCAGGGCCCTGTCTGCACACAGAGCCACCTCTCCCCTCACTTCCCCTCCTGTCACCCCGTCTCTTGTATGCAGTGGGGACAGCATGGCGGGACTATATTTCCATCTGCGGGCTTCGTACACACGGAGACCTGGGCGGGCACCCCGTCTCGGAGCTCATCTACATCCACAGCAAGATGCTCATCGCAGATGACCGGACAGTCATCATCGGTCAGTACCGGATCTGGGTCCCTGGCAGGGAGAGGGTGCGGGGACAGGCAAAGAGATGAGAGGCCGGGATGACAGAGACTGCAACTCAGGCTCATGTAGGGGTGGAGGGTCCAAGAAGGAGTGTTGCAGGCCAGTGCTTTGGTAGAGGGCATGGGGTACTGGGGGGAGTGCCCTGGCCCCAAGCAGACAGCGTGCCCCACATCCACCCCAGGTTCTGCGAACATCAATGACCGGAGCTTGCTGGGGAAGCGGGACAGTGAGCTGGCCGTGCTGATCGAGGACACAGAGACGGAACCATCCCTCATGAATGGGGTGGAGTATCAGGCGGGCAGGTTTGCCTTGAGTCTGCGGAAGCACTGCTTCAGGTAGACCTGGGGCGGGGTGCCACAGGGTGGGAGGGAGATGGGGGCGTCTGCCTTTTGAGCAGGACAAGAGGTAGCACCACATAGGTACTCCCGGAGCCAGAGGTAGAGGTAGTGCTAGATTCTCAATAGGCAAGGCTGGGCGCGGCAGCTCACGCCTCTAATCCCAGCACTTCCCAGCACTATGGCGAGGCCAAGGCGGGTGGATTGCCTGAGGTCAGGAGTTCGAGACCAGCCTAGCCAACATAATGAAACCCGTCTCTACTAAAAATACAAAAAATCAGCTGGGCGTGGTGGCGGGCACCTGTGATCCCAGCTACTCGGGAGGCTGAGACAGGAGAATCGCTTGAACCCAGGAGGCAGAGGTTGTAGTGAGCCGAGATCGCGCCACTGCACTCCAGCCTGGGCGACAGAGCAAGACTCTGCCT